CTGACTTTTGAACTTTCAATACTTAAAAAGTGAAAAAATGTATTAACTCTCAATTAGTTAATGTTTTTTATAATTTTCAATTGAAAATTAATACTACTAAGCATGGCATCACAAAAGATTTTATCACATACATTTCAATTTTTCGTTTTCTTTCATTTTTATTGTTTTCTTTCATTTTTATTGTTTTCTAATTTTTGTTAGTGATCTTTAACAGTGGCAACAAATCTCTCTGTTCACATTCTGAAGGATTCAATCTGGCCGTCCCTCTTTTTCCAATTGTTAAACGTCAGACCTCCTGAACTTTGACAGTTGCCTGAGTTCAGGAGGTTTTGACGTTTAGCAATTGCGCTCTGATTTCCAGTGAGAGATGAGTTGAGAGAGAGGGAGACAGTGAGATAAGTTTTTCTGTAGGATTTCAATCTGGCCGTCCCTCTTTTACCAATTGTTAAACCCCATACCTCCTGCACTTTGACAGTTGTCTGAGTTCACAAGGTATTGACGTTTAGCAATCGCGCTCTGATTTCCAGTGAGAGATGAGTTGAGCATCTCTTTATCTCTGCAAACTCACTGATGTGTTTATATCATAAGCATATCAAGTAAAAGCATGGAATAAGGGAGTAGCGAGAGTGACCATTCACAGTATGTTCCCACCTCCCAGGTGTACGATCACAATAAAACCAACATGGCTGCCTCTGGTGAGACAGGATGGCGAAAGGTCCAAACGGGTTGCGCAAAACAAAATACGCTGTAATAATTATTTATAACAATTTTCAATTTTGGTTATAAAATGATGTTTAATGTTGTTAACAACTAATTAAATTAAACCATCTTTATATAGATATACACATAGCCAATAAAGTCTGCGTCCACTCGACACATTTTTTTAAGTGAAGTAAAAACACAATGTAAATAGGTAATTCAGTTCAAATTTTTTACATATATTTCTTCTTTATATTCTTAAGTTCAAAATGCAAAAAAAAAATGTATATTCCAATTTTAATTTTTGAGATAACGGGATTTTAGTGTAATAACAAGTAAATATAGGCACCAGAAAGTCTGCGTTCAGTTAGCTTGAATTGGAAATACCGTTACTTCTCAATAATAAGTCGTTTAAAGAGCTCGTGACGCGTTTTAATAATATTTAAAAAAATGGAAACCAAAGGAAAAGAAATTAGTCTGTCGGAAAGAAAAATGATCAATAAGTTGTAAAAAGATGGCGAAAGTTTCTGAAAAATTGACCAAACTCTTGAAAGAACGTTTTCTTCTGTCCAGCGCGTCGTAAACAATTTAAAAAAACACCGGAAGTTTAACGTCAAAACCGCGATCGACGTGTTTTTACTTCACTTAAAAAAATGTGTCGGGTGAACGCAGACTTTATTGGCTATGTGTGTGTATGCGGTATATTTTAAAGCGTTTTAATTAACTTATTCATGGACAAACTTGAAATTAAATTTTTCTATTTTTGAACCCGAAAAATTAACTATTGTAACTGAATTTGGCATTACAATTGTTCATAATAACAAATTACCAGGTTATTTGGTTTCCCCGCTCAAACGGTTAAAAATATGTGTTATTGAAAGAAGAAGAATTTTTTAAAGCCTAAGTCTTCCGTATACCGTCCGTATACTTCTTCAATTAACATTTTGTAAGCAACGATCTCCAAATATGTGTATGGAATCTCTACAGGTAGCTTCTAAATCACTTAATATTTGGGTCTGTCTATCAACGAATCAATGTCCGGTATCAGTCTGTGGGTCCACCGTACTTTGGCATAGTGGTTATTACTTCAGCAGCATCGCTGGATATTGTTCGGAAAGCACTGATAACCCTTATTACTGACAGTCTATGAACTGCGTTTATTTGTCTAGCATATCCTTTAATGTTAAGCGCCTTGATCCATATTAGAGTTGCATACAACATGACCGATCTCATTAACTTTGCGAGTAAAAATCGCCGATTGGAACGCAGGCAGCCTTTAAGTGCCGTTATTCTTGGTAATGCGTTTAGGATTTTATACGCTTTACTTGCAGTGTATTTGAGGTGTTCCTTAAATTTTGGCCTTGAGTCTAATATTACTTCCAGATACTTCAGCTGTAGCTGTGAAATTATCTCACGCTCCCCTAATGTGAGCAATTTTCTTTCTTCAAATTTCCTTGTGCTAATGAGCAAGACTCAGCCAGTTTTAAGCTCATGAAAGAGGAACATTGGCGCAGACATTGTTTAGTCTTTCATTAGTGGAACTCTTTTTTATTAAGGCGTATTGTCTTTCTGATAGTCCGCCGGCTTTCTGGATACTGTATATGTCTATATGAAAGTTAAAGATGTAATTGATATTAACGATTTTGAAAAATACTGTGTACGCACTTTGTTACATCGCTAACAAATTAATACTATTAATACAACTACTTTACACCTAGCTTTTGTAACGGTCGCGTTGAAGCTGCTGGTGCTTTGTAGAGCTGCCAGATCTGCCGCGCTGTATACCCGGCCATCGAGGGGAAGTGGTAGGACAGGGCGTTCAAAAGTATGGAAAAATCATATATCACATATTTTCAATATAAAAGGACTGTTAATATACAAGTAGCAAGTTGAAAATTTTTGTTAATGAAATATCCAATTCAGCATTTGCTGCAGTTGGCGCATCACACACTATGCTAGGCTGATGTACAACGTAGTATTTTAAGTTCAAAATAAAATAAATAAGTCGAAAGTAAGGGGGTAAAAGGAGATTTTGATCGTAGATCCATATCAAAACTGTATTCCATATAGATCCAAACACTCTTATTGGCCAAATGGAAGTCCAAACGGAAATTAAAACTGGCATACCATTGAAAGAGAGCAAGAAAGTGCGAGAAGATAGAAGACAAGGTAGCAAACGAATGGCAGAAAGGGCACAGACCGACTGCGTTCAGTTCTCTGGATCGACCGAGAATATAACATGTTTTTTTAGATCGTATCAGCTGATACAGTCTACGGTTTTGTGTCGGTCATTAACTGAAGAATTAGAGTAAAAAAGGTTACGACAACAGCATACGTCATCGAACCAAGAATGATAGAATACAAGATTACGCCAACCGCCATCTTGTGACGTAATTCTTCTAAGTTAAGAAGAAGAAGCATAGAACAAAATGTAAAGTAAACGAAAACATAAACACTTTTGTTAATTCGATAAATATATATACTTAATTTATTAGTTTATAGTAAAAATTTTTAGTGAAATTAATAGAATAATGTTGCAAAAAAATATTTTGGTCATTTTTTAATAAATACTTTTACAACAATGGACAATACTTGGACAACATAATTGCCAATTAAGTGAATGATTAGAAGGGATATCGAAGGATTATGAATAACTACAACAAATGACAATTTACGTTTTTATCATGGTCGGAGAGCTGCAAAAGCAGTGACATATTTACAAGATAAATTCTGAAGACTTTCGTTAAATGATTTGGAAACTAATACGAAAATCAAGCATTGTGCTGTTAACCGAAATTTGGTTAGACAATGATAGACGATCGAACATTCGAACAGGAGGTGTTGCGATCTATATTAATATTATTTTAGTTTTGTCCCCCCTTCTATAATGGATTTTTCCCTTACCCCGGGACTGCTTTTGCATTACTTCTATTAACTGGAATTCTCCGGGAGGATCCGCGTCTATACACTCTTTTTAGTGACTTTTTTCGCCGCTAGCTAATTTTTTCTATTAGGTTTTCGGTGTTTAATTCTACAACTTTGTTTTCTAAAGTTCTTCGAGCTTCATTCCATCGAAGGCAATTAAAAAAGGTACGGTTTGCATCGATATGCGGTTCGTTTCCGTAGATACATGCAGGGCTTTCTGTTTTTCGGAAGTACTCGTGTCCGGAGAGCATTTGTGTTAAGTAGTAGTTCACCTCGCCGTTTTTTCTGCTGTGCCACATCTCTATATCTTTGATGAATTTGGCGGTCCATCTTCCTTTGAGGTCCCTTGTGAACCGATCTTGCTAGAGTACAGAGGCGACTCTATGGGGTGCTGTCCTCTGCACCTTAGCAAGCACTTTCCGTCTATGTTTCTCGTTTAATGTATCGGCCCATATTCGTGTTGTCTCCATGAGCAGTTTCCTTCTACTTGCAAGCGGGCCTCCGATATTT